TAAAATCAGTTTTTGTAACATGCTTGAAGGAAGGAACTCAAACAAATGCTACATCCCTGAGAGACTTGAGCCTAAACATTTATTTGGAGAGTTAGTAATCTGTGCATTCTTGTTTTCTAAAGTCGTTGCATGATCTCATTATTCTTTGCTTGGTTGCTACTTAGAAGGCGTTTCATCACTATAGTTCCAAATACTAGAACTCATACCCGTTTCATTCAAAGCATGAAATTGATTAGCATAACAAATAACAAGATGAAGTTGTGTAGTAGTCACCACCATAGCCAAATAGCCGAATCCATCCTTGTCATTTGTATTGTAGGATTAGCCCCTTTGAGCCTTGTTTAACCTATTTTCTTTGTTAACCACATCACCCTTACCTAGCCTAGAATAAGACTTTCCATACCCTTATTCTTGAAGTATAGTGGAGCATGACTTAGAAGGAATTCCTTTTGAGTGACATTCTTGCAGAAAACAAGTGTGGGGGAAGGAATTTTTGTGTGTATGAGTGTGCCAAAGTCTTAAAAGAGGCATGGGAAAAGGAAAAAAAAAAAGAAAAAAAATGTGAAAAAGAAGAAAAAGAGGAAGAAAAGGAAGAAAAGGAGTTGAAAATAAGTGAGAACGAACTCACAAGTGTTGGTTGTTAAAGAAAGGGTCCAAAAAGTTGAATATAGCCCTAAGTTTTGTGTGACTTCCCCTTGGGTGTTCAAAGTTAATTTTTGCATTCTAAAGGGAATTCTAAGTGCCTAATTCATTATTTTGCTCACTATTGCTTTAAGAACGTTTGTTTCCTTTACCTTTGTTTGTTAACCAATGCCCTAACCCCGTTACAACCCTTTGACTTCTATCTTGATTGTTATGTGTTTCAATATGTGGAGTTTAAAATTGGTTTGAGCATATGGTATCCCTGGTTCTCGCATCTAAGTAATGGCGTTCCATTCATGAGATTATATATATACATGCATTAATAATTCCTGAAAGTGCTTTCTTTCATTATACATATGTGAGTGGCTCGTCTACATGTTTTCATCAATCTTCTCACATATATCTAGTGTAGGGAGTGTAGTCAGAAAATCTGAGTGAAAATTGAGCTTAAATCCCTGAGGCAAGCGTTGGAAGGTTTAGCTTATATGTTTTGTTTCTTTTGTTTCTTTGTTTTGCTCAAGGACTAGCAAAAGCTAAGTGTGGGGGAATTTGATAAGAGCATATTTAGGCGACTTAGCTAGCTTATTCTTGTGCATTTGTGTTATTATTTCTTAGTTAAAGTAGTATTTCAACTCATTTTCGTGTGTTTGTAGGTCCAAAGGGTTAAGGTATCAAGAAAGTGCATTTTGGTGCATTTTGGAGCAGTTTTGGGCACTAAATGGATAACACATGTATGGGCCAAGATGGATGGACGAATTTGGAATTCAAAAGGCTGGGAATCTGATAAGAAGAGGAAGAAATTAAAGTCAAGACAAAGAGGATAAGGAATCAGCTCAAAAGAGGGTTAATTTGTGTGTTAAATTAATTTTCACATCATATGGTAAAGGGTTGGTTTGGGATTGTGGTGCTTTTATAAATTAAAAAAAAAACAGCTTATTAAAAAAAATTGGAATATTTAAATACGTTTGGTAAAACAAAAAAAATGCTTTTTAAAAAAATTACAGTTAATGAAAGTAGAAAAACATAGAAAAGTAGAAGCAAAATCTACCATGCTTATAAAAAAAAAGTTTGTTTTTTTTTTTTTTTCAAATTCAAAGCATAGTAATCAATGATCATTTAATAAACTTTTCAAATGACAAGTATAACCCCACATGTTTTACAAAATTACAATCTTTGCCCTTACATTATTGTCTTGGCAATTATGGTATCACATTAAATACTATATCTTTTTTACTCATTTAACATATTCAAAACAATTTATATAAAAGTTTACCAAACAATCAGACACTGTTTTTTTTTTTTTTATTAAAAACACTTTTACAAACACTTTTACAAAAAACAGGTTTGCAAAACACTTAACAACTTTATTTTACAGTTGTTTATTCTCACAATGCAGAAGCAATTTTTTTAAAAGACACAACAATATCAAACTAGCCCTAAATCCAATCTCTCTAGTATTTTCATATTTTCATAAAGATTTTTTTTTTTTTGAAGTGTCATATAAATTTATACATATATTTAAATTTGTATATGAATTAAATTTTAAGCAATTTGTCATAAGAATTTTTTGAAATCATTAATTTGTTATTTCACCTAACTCTATTAAGTTTTCCATTCAAATGAAACATATATATATACACATGAAACACATATGAAAGACACGAAACACACAAAACCCCACAAAACACGTATGAAACACATGATACACATATAAAACACATGATAGAGATGTATAACACACCAAACACATGAAACACACGAAACATGACACACTCCGACCCGGAATGTCCAGTAGGACTACGAAACGAGATGTGTTGGCTGACACCTGGAAAGTGACGAAGTCATAAAGTATAGTGATGTGGAAAATGTGAATAAATTTAAACTAAAAATGCCTAAAGACAAGAGTGCGCTGTGAGCGGGAATGAACTCATTCCACACGCGACATCAGAGCATAAGTAAAGTATAGTAGTGTGGGTGAGGATCATACCCTCAGAGGTAGCCACCTATACTGAGATTTACGGAGAATCCTCGTCGATACGAACTTTCAACAGCTAAACCTGGAGGGGTGAAAAATAAGGGTGAGTGGGCTTGAAAATAAAGTTTGAATAAAAACTTTTTGAAAACGTTATATCCCCTCGTTGTAAAACCCGTATAGTTTCTAGAAAATAATACTACATATATATGAATACCAATGCACAAGGCCAGTAAAAAACTAAAACATGCCATGTCATAACGTTTCAGCACTAAAAGATGTAAGCCAGGTGTGAAATCAATATAAAATAGTATGCCAGTTGGAGTCACCTAATGTGAACTGTACAATTGAACCTATAGCTCATTAACCTAGTCTTGCACACGAGTTGGAACCACCTAATGTGGTCTGCACGACAAGTTGGGTGTAAAAAGTACGCTCAAGTGCTACAGTCACGTGAAGGCTGTGTGAAGTATCATAAGTCACCTACGAGTCGGAACCACCTAATATGGTATGTACGTCAGGCTGACACCTACCTTGGATCGAAGGTGAGCATGTGGTGCGGGAGGTGAACTAAATGCATCTAAACATAACCATACACTGCAATTACTATCATCAATATGCACTCACCTGAAACTTCCTTGGGCGTCTGTAGGTAAGCTAAATTGCACTCACACTGCAATTACTATCATCAATATGCACTAAATGCGTATCATCATGCAATAATATGCATATCTATACTAATGCATATACTAAAATGTAATGCAATTGACATGGCATTTAAAAGCGTAAATCCATTTAAAACCATTTCTGGGAAAATGGAAAACATATATATGTATATAAAGAAAACCAAAAGCCCACTCACTTGGAGTCCGCGCTACGACTCCCTAGCACAAACATCGAGGTGTCACGAACGATCAACACCTAGAACAATTATCAAACCATATCTCAGAATCCTTATCAATAGAACACATAACTTACATATCCTATTTGGGAAGATCTGTATGTCAGATTCCCAACCCGTAAGTTTCTAAATATTACGTACTATAATGTATCAAGGTTTGGTGATGATCCAACGGTCGGATCATCGATTCATATAATTATCAAGTAACACACCTTAATCAAGCTAGATTCACAATAATCAAATCACATCATATGGATATCAAACCTGAGATCAAGATATCAATTTAGCGTAAAATAGCATCGGCGACCCATTAGCCACGCGCCGCCACAGGTGGCGGTCGGCTGCCTCGACTTACTGGAAAATTCAACTATTTCTAAAAATTACCAAAGTTTATAGGCAAGTAAATCTCAATGAAAGGAGAAATTTTCATACATGGGCTGAGTCCAATTCGGTCTGGAAACCTTTGAAAATAGCCTCGAATCACCGGAAACCCTCGAATTTGGGTGTTTTTTATTCGACTCCAAAACAACTCCGACGCCCTAGCCAATGCATGGGCTTTGTTACAGACCTCCGAGGGAGTCTAATGGTGGTGGTAATTGGAAGAACACGTATCAGATTTGGTGGATCTCGCCATGAATCTCATGACACCCATAGGTTTATTTCTTCTCAATTTTGAACCTAATCTCCTCATATTTGATATAGAAATGGTAGAAGAAAGGTCTATATGATGATTGGAAGTGGTAGATCGGCTCAATCCATCAAAAAAATGATGAATTTCGTTGGAGAAACCTATGGGTTGCAACCGAGTTCGCAGGTTAAGGGGAATCTGGTTTGGTTCCCCTCCTCTTCCTCCTTTCTCATTTCCTTCCTTCCTCTCTTCTCTGATTGGTCACTCTCTCATCTCTCATTTCCTCACTGGTCCAGTTTCACCCCTTTTTTCTCTCCTTTATCTTTTCTCCCAACCGTCCATTTCTTCTTTCTTTAAATCTAGGCCACACACGTGGCTTTCCAGATTAAGCTCCAAAAATCTTGAGCTTTCTAGAAAAATAACCAATTTACTAAAATGCCCCCGATTTTAAACGTTAATATATTCTTCGGTATAATTCCAAATCACGTTTCGCTTGCGTCCATGCGTTTGTAGTGACGAGTACTATGAGGATATGCCAAGAAAACGAGTCTTACGTGACACGACACCTTAGTCAACAAAAGCCAACACATTGCCTCGAAGGACATTTTCGTAAATACACATTTAAAAATTATAAAGACTATAATTTTTGGGGACGGGTTGTTACAAAACACATACCAAATACATATGAAACACATGAAACACAACCTTCAACCATCCTCTATACAAGCATATGTTGAATATCTAACCATCACAAAACATATTCACCAATCATCCATCTTTCATAGTGTTTCTGATTCCTCAAAATTATCCAACTTTTATAGTGTTTTTGTTTCCTCAAAATCATCAATTTCTCGTCAATGGGTGACACAATAAGACGTAACTTGTCAATGCAGATGACACAATACCAAGCAAATGTTGCAGCTAGGGAAGCAGAAATGAAAAATGAAGAAGCCGAACTTGCAAACTCACTTATGCAATATGGGCACCATGCTGAATCTAGTTATCGTGATAGAGAAAAGTATCATGATCGGATAATGAAAGACTATTTCATTGAACGTCCAAGGTATCCTCCTCATGATTTTCGAAGGAGGTATCAGATGAGAAGAGAGCTTTTTGAAAGCACCTTGAACACAGTTGTCCATCAGGACCACTATTTTGCGAGGAAGATAGATGTCGTAGGCCGACAAAGTCTATCACCTCATCAGAAGCTCACATCTGTATTTCAGATGCTAGCCAATGGGTGCTAGTACATTGGCAATATTTTTAAGTGAGTACATGTGTACATCAATATGGCATCAAGTCTTTTGTGTAGTACGTTGTTGATAATTATTGAAGGCACCCTTGAATTATTGAAGGCATCTAGTGTATAGCAATGTGTGCATCAATGTGTCCAACAATTATTGAAGACACCTAGAATAAGCCAAAAACAAAAAAAAATGTTATATTAATAAGTCATAAAACCGGATCTAGAATAAACCATAAAAATGCATAATTAATAAAGACAATAATTAGCACAATTAATAGCACAAATCGGATCTTGAAAGAATAAACCATAATTAATAGAAGCAATAGTTAATAACACCTAATTAATAGAATAAATTATATAAAATTAATACAACGATAATTAATAAACCACATAAAATTAATACAAATAATGATTATTAAACTACATAAAAATTAATAAACAACTAGTGATCATAATAATATTCACCACTTTGATTTGGTGGTGGATTTTGTGGTTGACTTCGAATATAAGCTTGAGATAAATCATCATCTTGAAATATACTCCTTGTGGCATTCTTTCGCATAATTTCCTTTTGCTTATCATGGAAGAACTTCTTCCTATTTGGAGTGTATTTTTTGAGGTCCTCCCTCATCATATCAAAATTGAACCTTTCTTACTCCATTTATGCTTGCTTCTCAAATGCCAAGCACATTCGGATCAGTTCTTCCCCCCAAAAGCTATGGCTTTCGATCAATTTTGCAAATCCAGAAGAAATCGTTGTACTAACCGGATCTTGCATCTTCCCTTTTCTCATTGCTTGCTTTTGCTCATCTCTTCCCGGGGGTCTTGCAAAAGAAGAAGTTGGGGTCACTGAACACATCCATTGATAACATTTGTGCTTCTGGCTTCACTACCAAATAATTTTCCCAATTGTTGGTCTCCATTGGCTCCCTACCTTGGACAATCCTTGAGGACGTCCCAAGCATGGTGTAACTTAAAAAGCTTGATTTTTGGGTGTAGTTCTTATCTTGTAAATCACCATTTCTTTGTCACCCTATGCACGGAATACAAAAATACAATTAGTTGCAAAATAAGATTATGTACATGACAAAATAAAATATCAACAAAGATACTTATCACTTCTATGATGCTCCTTCCACTAGCCATGTCAACCACAACTGGCACACCCCGATCGAGATCAGAGCATGTTGGCCGTTACGTGGAAGTGACGTAACCATGTGCACAGTGCGGAAGCAAATAAAATAATAATAAAAGTACAAATAAATAAAAACCAGCTATACACAACGTAAGGACATACATGTGCAAGTGTAAGTGTGAAAAACAAAATTCAAAGCTCAAAGACCTAATGCAGTCCGGGAGAAATAACACTACAAAAACACACCCAAATGTGGTCCTACACTGGTGATAATCTGTCAGATATGCCGGGGAAATCCTTTGGGGAGCCACCAAAAGTGCTAGCCAACTAGAACCTAGAGGGGCGCAAAATAAAAAGTGTGAGTGGGCAAAAACAAAGCTTTTCAAAAACCATTTCATAAACAAGATTCTAACCCCTCGACATAAAACCTGTATACTTCCCAGAAAATATAATATACATATATAAGTCATGCTCAGAAATATGCCATGCCAAAAGCCTCGAAATAAAATGCAAGTGCTCAGGTAATGTCAAATCAATGCCATGTAATCTGTCAGCCGGAGTCACTTAACGTGACCTGTACGGCTGAATCTAGAGCTCAAATCTCATCTCACTAACTATACCTGCACACGAGTCGGAACCACCTAGAGTGGTCTGTACGACAGGACTGGGTGTATAATAAGTACGCTCAAGTGCTACGATTATGTGAAGGTTGGGCGAATAATCGCAGGTCACCTACGAGTCGGAACCACCTAAAGTGGTCTGTACGACAGGACTGTGCACCTAACTTGGATCCAAGATGAGCGTGTGGTGTAGGAGGTGAACATCACATGAAGGACTGTGCCCAACTCTGGGCGGGAGCACTAACACCGGGGGTGCAAGTTATGAGCTCTCTATGCATCTCAAACCACTACTGAATATAAGCATAAACCATACTCACCTGGCACTTACCTGTGCGTCCGCAACACCAAACATATATATATATAGGCTACTAACAATGCATAAACAAACGGCAACATAATGCATGACATAAAACGAATAAACGTTTCAATTCATTTTCTGGGAAAAACATAAGTATATAGGTATATAAGGAAAACCAAAAGCCCACTCACTGGTATGTAGAAGGGTCGTAACCCCCTTGCCTCGAGTGACCACGCTCGTCCTCGGGATAGGTCTCACCTATATGCGAAACAACTATAAAAACGTTAATTTTAAAACACATAACCACATCACGAAATAACTTCTCATACAATGCTCAAATGGGGTGTATGAATACACCAACGTGATCTACTCAACCTCAGGAACATCCCCATATTTTTAGAAAAATTTTCCATCGCCGCACGCGCCCCCACGCGTCGGCCAAGGCACGGCCACACACGCCGCCCATGGGCAGGCACGTGCCTGGCACACTGACGGCGTTAGTTAACGTTGTCAGGAATATTCTGTTAACTCCAAGGGATTCCGTTAACGCCGTTAGGAATATTCCGTCCAAACCGAGGGAATATTCCGTCATCTTCTCCGGCGAAGCTCCGATGCCGGAAAATCGGGAAAAATTTAAAACCTTGTATCTTCTTCGTTTTTCAACCAAATTTCACAAAGTTGGTACCAAAATGAAGCTTACAACAAGAGGAACAAATCCATACCACTTTCAAGCACTAAAACGCACAGAATCTCACGGGGAAAACACTACCAACTCTGGCCAAGCTTGAAACTCATGATCCCGACGTCCAAAACCTTCAAACGAACCACCCCGAGCCTCCTAAGGACCTCACCAAGCTTTCTACAAGCTTGAAATTTCCAAAAACACAAGAATTAACGTGTGCATGAACAGTGACCAAATCGGGGTATCCGAGTTCGACGTGAAAACGAAGGTATCCTTACCTGAAATGGGTATGGTTGAACTCCTACGGACCTCACGAGCATGAATTTGTAATTTGTTTCCTTGATCTGTGAAGGTTTAGATGGTTTTGGTTGTCGTCCGTACAAGAAGGATAGAAATGGGAGAGAGAGAGGGCTCGGGATAGGGCAAGAGAGAGAGAGTGAGTGAGTGTGGTGTGTGTGTGGTCCAAAACCAGCCAAGCAACACCCAAAAATAACCACACAACGAAACAACCCTGCTAGGGGCAAAATCGTCATTTCATCCCTACGGTATGAAAAGTCCGGGGCGGGCTGTCACAACGACTCTCTCCAAACTTCCCTTCCATAAAGGGCATGCTTTATTGATAACCTTCCACTAATCGTAAACACTACCAACTTCCCTTTGGGTGATTTTGGAGTTTTCATTGAACTTATCAACGATTTTAGCCCACAAAATCTTTTTATTTTGATTCGTGCCAATGATACCATCTTCGCTAATACAAATCCATGCCAATCACAAAGCAACATCTTCCTCATATGACCAATTACAACCTCTAATATGATCTTTTGCCATCTTGAAAAATTTGGAAATGGGAAGAAATGGTTTTGGAAGATGGTAGAAAGAAAAATAGCAAGAATTGTACGAGAAAAGTGATATTTGTGTGAATGTTTGAATAAATATAGAGGTAAATATAGAATTTTTGGGTGAATTTTGAGTAAAATAAAATTTTAAATAATTTTAGCCATTGGATATAATTTTGGAATGTTAGATCTTTTTTTTTTACCATTATATTTAATCACATTAGATTTCATTTGTTGGATTCAAACAAATTTATAAATATAAAACTAAAAATTAAATAAATTAGATGTGGACCATTGGATAACCAATGACCCATTTAAATTGTGGCCGTAGGATTAGAAAAAAGAGCCGTTGGGATCATTATTACAATAGACAAGTGGGCGACAAGCTCATGTGGATGAGGTTGGCCTGTTGCAGCGCCTGACACGTGCGCTAGTAAATTCTGAGCGTTTGAGCTTCAACGCTGGATTTCCACTCTCACATGTGGGCCACACATCAGTAATCTTAGCCCAAATCCTTGTCGGAATTTGTCCAATTTATAAATTTTAAACACATAACCTCATTTTGACCCAAGGGTTGCAGTGTTTTGGGGGTGGAATAGAAGCCAAATTTTGAAACTTGCTCCAAAAATTGAGAAAAAAAAAAAGGAACTGTGTTGATTTCAGGAACACAATCCCGCGCTTATTTGAAGCAGAGGCGGCGTAACCAAAACCCGACCTCACTGTCTCGTTGGGAGCACTTCGTTCATTTCCAATCACCATGTCGGAGCCAATCGTCCTCTCCGACGAAGAAGATTCATCCCCATTCCAACTGTTCCACTGTAAGAAACGCCGAACCGAACCAGACCTAAATCCAAACTCAAACCCGAACCCGAACCCAAACCCTACGGTTCTCGTCCTCGACGACGACCCAACCCCACAGAAGCCCCGCCCCACCTCCACGCCTATCTTCGTCCCGGAGACCCCCATGTCTGATCTCGCAATTGTGAAATGCACGAAAGCCCCTTCTGACTTCCAATCTAGGGTTTCAGACTCCGTTCACAACTTCTCTGGTTGGTTGATTTCTTGCTATTGGAAATGCTTACTTTGCTTTTTGTTTAATATAATTCCTTATCCATTGCTTCTTGTGATAATTTTATTTTTGAATTAGTTTTTTTACTGTTTTGCTTCAAGTAATTGGTGCGTTTTACTGTTCTGTTCGGATCAATTGGAATTAGTTTTGAGTTCTGTTTCTCTGAAAATGCTGGAATTAAGTCCTAATGCTTGATGGTGAATCCTCGAGTTTTAGCACAATATAAAACTGTTTCAAAAGATGGTTAGAAAGAAGTGTTTTGGCCAGAAAAGCTTATGACCAAGTGGACTTGGATTTTAGGGATTTCGTGTCAGAGAGAAAGGGTTTTGGCAGTTTGGAGGAACTGCGTGAGGATTAATGT